CTTTGCCAGCAATAATTTGGTTATCATATACTGTGATAAGCCATGGCTTTTTTTGTGAAGAAAAGTGTCCAGTTGTATAACTGTAATAGTTTGTTTGAGGTAGATGTAGATGTTGATAAAGTGTATAATTAGAAGATTGACTAGTAACTAGATCTTCTAGATAAGTAAACCAAAGTGGTTGTTTGCCTTTTGGAATCTTGTGTATACAAGGAGAAATATGTTTCCAATCTAATAAGCATGAGTTATCAAAAGTGGTGAGTTGGTCAAGATATAAAATATGATGATATCTAAATTGCTTTTTGAAGATTGAATATTTAGAATATGAAGAAAGCAGAGATTCTAGAGAAATAGAGCCCTCTTGAATAGTATGTGGAATATTGTATATTGGATTAGCAGTAAATGCTATATCAAGATGTTTAAAGAGTTGAATAATCTTAAAACTAGTTGTATATTTGTTAGGTCTATCAATACAGAGGTTGTTATGTATTAATATACTAGTAGGTGACCAAAGATTATTCTGTAGTTGTTAAAGTCAAATACGTGTACTAGTATCGAGAAGGTCATGAGAATTAAGTCTTTTAGTAAAGTTTGTGATATGGTGTTGCAGTTGGATATCCCATATGTTGCGAATATTATATAGTTGAGGATGAAGTAGTGTATTAGTAGAAATTGTATAGCTAAGTTTAGCCTTACTTTTAACAAGTTCAATATAATTAGTAAGGATTTTGTTACATGTATTCTGGCTGAGAACAATATTATGCAAGCGATATTCAATTGTAGGAATAATAACTATATTAACAATATATCATGCATATGTGTTGGTAATTTGTTTAGTACTAGCTATTTTGATGAGGTGTGATAACTTAGCCATAATAAGCTTAATTTGGTTTGTTTGTTTGTTGTTAAGTGTAAACTAGTATCCAAGAAACTTGAATGCTTGATTTGAGAGATAGAGATTAAGTAAATGATTGTTATAAGTAATAGGGCTGTAATTGCGTGGAGGATTATTGGTTATAAGTATAGATTTGGAGGGATTAATTTGAATATTAGCCATATTATAAAAAGATTCTGCTATTGAGAGGATTTGTGAAAGTTCTTGTTGTGATGATGCAATCCAAAGTGTATCATCCATATAAGCAAGAACTGAACAATGTGAATCGAGTTTGTCAAATGTTTTGTGTTTGAGGTTAGTTGGCCAGGAAACTTGTGTAGAATAATCTTTAAAGTTATTATGAATATATAAATAAGTGGATCATAATATATTCTTCATAGGAGAGGAGTAATAGTTTTACTCTAATTAATATCATTAAGTATAGGGTATAAAGAAGTAAGGCCCAAATTTGTGATAACTTGATTTTGTCAGTCAGTGAGCAAGTTGATAATAGTATTAATAATAGAAGTAGGAAGAGCAAGACGTTAAAGAGACTGTTGTAGAAGGGTAAGGTTAACAGAATCATAGGCTTTACTTATATCCTAAGATAAAAGCCAAATTGTTTTTTGATTACAAAGTGCATCTTCAGTAAGGTTGTTAAGTATGTGAATAGGTATAGAAGTACTATTATTAGGTAAGGCAACATAATTATATGGTGAAAGAATTGAGTGCTGTGAAAATACAGTACTTATTCTGTTGATAATAATTTTTGTGTAGACTTTACAGGTGTGTTCAATAAGGCTTATAGGATGAGTAAGATTAAAGTCATCATTAAATGTATTGTACTTTGGAATAGAGTATATTCTACTATGTTTCTATTGCTTAGAAACATGGCTTAAGATAAGGCATCAGTTAAATAAAGTAGTTAAAACTTTAATACAGGTAGTACCTGCATGTTTGAACATTTTATAACTAATACCTGTAAGACCACAGGCTTTTTCATTAGGAAGCTTTGCTATAGTTTGAGATACTTCTTTTTCTGAAATAGAAAGAATAAGGGAATTATACCACTGGGTGTTGATATGTGTTTGAGGTTGGTATTGTGCAGACCAGAAGTTGTTAAAAAGTTGTTGATCAATTGGTCGATAAGCTGTCCAGTTAAGGAAATGTGAATGTATGTGTTGTTTAATAAGATTTGGATCTGTAATAAGTTGGTTCGAAAGTTTAATATTAGAGAAGTGAATAGGAGGTTGGTAACAATTAAGAATACTATTGATGGCTTGTTTGGGTTTTGTAGAGAGTGTTTCGCATCTTTTTTCAGTTGCTTATTTAATTTGTTGTTGAAGTAAGAGAGAGTTTTAAATCTGGCGAGCATTATAAAGTTGCTTCCAGATTTCTTGTGCATGTTGAATCCATAAAAAATATTGTAAAGATGTAAATGCTTGAAGATTGCAGTAAGATTTTGAGTTGATATTTTGGATTTTAAAATTAATTAGATTTACATCTATATTATTGTTTTTGTTTTTGACAATTTTAATTATATAACCAAGTTCTTTAAGTGATAGGTAGAGTGAAGTGCAATGTGGTGTATATTAATGATTATAACTACCGTATATTACCAAATAGAAGCTACCAAAATTTTGAGAGTTTTTTCGGACTAAAAAGAGGGTGTAGCTTCTATTCGGGTCCAATTTTATTATTAAAACATAATAACTTCCTCCAAATTTTTAATCCAAAATTGAGGGGATAGCTTTTATTCGGGGGTAGCTTCTATTCGGTAATATACGGTACATTTTCTAGTTATTTTATTAGGTATAATGTATATTGCAATATTAATAATTGAGTGCTTAATCTTATGCCAAGTAGTTTCAATACTTTCATTAGTATCAGTATTGAGTGGAGTATGATGTAAGTTAAGATTGTCAGTAAAAAGGTCTGAAAATTCTGTCCACTTTTCAGATGACATACTTTTGTAGTTGAAGATTCTTCAGCTAATGCCAGTATGATAGCATGGAGATTTGCTATAAGCATTAGTAAAAGTCCAGAAAGATAAAAGAATAGAGTGGTCACTAGATGTAGAGGGATCACTATTGTCAAGATTATATGAGAGAAAGAACTGAATATTAAATGAGTCAGTCCAAATATAGTCGATACAGCTTCGACTAATATTGTTTGACCATGTATAATATGTGTTGTTGGTATGTGCACCAAGATCATACATATTATATTAGCAGATTTAAAGAAGCAAAATATTGCAAAAGAATTTGTGTTATGAAAAAATTTTGCAAATTAGTGCAAAAAATTTCGAAATATTTCGAAATATAATATTTTCGAAAAATTTCGATAAATATTTCGAAATATTTCGAAATTTATTTCGCAATATTGTATCAAAATAATTTTGAAATAATTCAAATATTTAAAATTAATGAAGAATATGCTAAATATAATAAAATATTAAAGGACTATATTAGTGTATAACAAAATGAAATGAATTTTAAATAATTCGAATTTATCCTAATATATTTAATATATTCGAATATATTGAATATATTTGAATATATTCAAATATTTTCGAATTAATTCAGATTATTTCAAATTAATTACAAATTGCTTTAATATATTTAAAATATTTCAAATATTTTTGAATTAAAGAATATTCGTAATTTGTTTATTTTACTTAGATTTTTATCATATAGTTTATTTATTTTAATATATTCGACTTTTTTAATATAAAATTAAGGGATTTATATTATAGCGCTATAGCATTGTGATACCATAGCACTATAGTGCTATATTTTTTAATATTATATATATTTATTTATCAAAATAACTACATATCACCACTGGTGATCATCACCAGTGATTTACAGATGTAACGTATAAATCAAAGTGATTTTTTAAAACAAAGGTTTAATTTTTTTAATATTAGGGTAAGGGTGGGGATATGATGTTGGGGTTAGGCAAAAATTATAGTAAAATTTTGCAAGGAATTTTTTTTGTTAAGGCCCAAAAGGTGGTTTCATAGACAAAATTTTAAGATATGATTAATTTTTTAAAAATTCTTTGTTTTTGTTTCACAAAATTGATTTATACATTACACCTGATCTTGCAAATTAATTGGTTAATTATATACTGGTGATGATCACCAGTGGCGATAAATAGCAAACTCCTTTATAAAATATATATAATTAAAATTTAATATACATATCATACATTAGTACTAATTTAGTTTAATTACTAACCCTAACACTATATAACATGCTATCAAAATTTTATATTCACATGATCGCAATGGTGCAAAGCACTAGAAGCATCTAATAAAATGTTTTTCTTGTACAATTTTATTATACAAGCATTTAACCTCAATATTGGCTCTAATCTAAACATAAACAAACTTAAAACATTTGTAACTACCTCTGTGTCATCACCAAAAATTTTACTGTCATATAAGGATCTATATAACTTACCCAAAACATTCAGTTTTTTTCAAAAATCGTTTATTTCTCAACATTTCACATAATAAACCACCTTTTGCAGTCTAACAAAAAATTTCTTGACCAATTTTACTATACTACCTGCTAAAGTTTACTTTTATCATAAACACTAACCCTAACTTAAACAAACTTAAAGATTTTATATACGATATTTACTGTCACGTGACAATTAAATTTTTGGTGAAAGAGTAGAATTTGGTTAATGATCACATTACAATAAAATGCTGATAGGAAGGTTATCTTGGCATGAAAATCTACAACAGTGTTTAAAGACAGTACAAATTGATGTTATTGTTTTGTCTCTAAATATTGTTCACAAATTTCATAACAGCGAATAGACAACCTTCATGCTTATTAACAATTGTTAAGCTTTAACATTACATTAGAATTTATTATGATTGATATTAACATTACAAACAATCTAACATGTAATGATAATGTAAGGTTCAAAAGCATTGCGATTTGAATTCTAAACTGCCTACAATTTATAACACCAAAGAAACTAAATACCTAATCGTGACTTCACTAGATTTCTGACTTTTTTTAATGTTATTTATTCACAATATGAAATGACTATAATCTTAAACAATTATATAATAAAAACTTGCTGACATATTATAAGTTAATGATAACCATTACTTTTGTCTTTGAGAACAAGTTGCCCAATTATGACCAACTCCTCCACAAATTTTACAATGTAATTTATGCTTTGCTCTTTTAGGTGGCTCACCTGCACACCGCATTCTATCCATACCTTTTGGTCGCCCTTTTCCTTTACGTTTAGAAGGATTCACTAGCTCTTTTGGATCCAGTATTCCTTTTTTAGTTGTACTAGTCTCAACTTCACTATTTGAATCTATCTCACTGTTACTATTAGAAGATATTTCTTCTTGACAATCATTCAAATATTTGTCAAGAATGCTAATAAAATTGTAATTATGTTGTCGAACAGCCACCATTAAAGCTGCTCTAGCTTTACTCCATGTTTCTCCATATAATTTACGTTCATCTATAATTTTATGATATGCATCCTGCACTTCATACATAGTACCCGAAATTAAAGCATTAAGATAGGAAACTGAATTATCGCAGCCTGTTGCTAGTGATTGTTCTGTCTCAAACTTTTGCGCAACTAAAAATGGTTCTTGCTTTGATTCATTGCTAGTTTGATTAAACCATCGCGATTGTATTAGTTGAATATGAAATGTTGCAGTTTGTGTATACAGCATTACTTGAAAGAAGTGGTGACAAACAATTCCACAGTTACAGTAATCAAGACAAGAGTATAAATGTAACCCATTATCCAAAAGTATTACAAAATGCCATATGTCATTTGATGTAACATGTCGAATTCCCTACATTTTAATAATCTGATTATTATTGACAAGATTTAGCATTGCTTTAGCAACAATATTAATAAGATTTCAACTCTCAAACAAGTTAGGATCATCAAGATTGATCTGCAATTATATAATATACTAGGATTAGTATTAACGTTAATATTAATGTATTATTCCTTTTGGCACTATGTATATCGATATACTTACTGCATGATATCTTTGTAGTTCATCTTGTGTTACCATTATACCATGATACTGCAGCGATTGTTTTATTTGATTCTCCTGAATTTTTAATATCTCCACAATCAAATACTTTTACAATACTTTACAGACATTTGGAAGAATAGTGTCAGCTGTTGCAACTAAGGCAGCTTTGGAAACTGATGTACGAAATAATGCATATTCTGTTTTTTTATCTTCCTCAAGAACGCATGCTGTTAACTTTTCTACAAGCTCTAACATAGTTGTATTAGAATTAAAAATCAGCTTTTTGATTTTTGAATTATAGCTTTTGACTCTAGAAGTTGACGACATTCCTGCTGTAAATAATTTAAGCACAAATGCCTTTGCTCAAGACTTTTTGCTAGCATAAAGTCGCTGTAAATAACTAACTATATTCTCATTATTATACTTTTCGAGTAGTAATTTCCATCGATACTTAAAAATCATAACAAAGCCAGTTTGTTGCACTTCAAAAAATTTTTTAACAAACTCATCATACTGATCTTTGAGATGATTTTTTAGATTGAAAGCAATGTTCTGTGAAATATGAAACATACAATGAAGCACATTTGTAGTAGAAAATTCGTCTCGTATGGCAGCGACTAAGGCAGGATTGGCGTCAGTAAAAATAACTTGTGGAGTAGCTCCATGGGTTGCTTTTTTAATTTGCTGTAGTATCCAACTATGCGCTTCCTTGGTTTCATTATCTGTTAATGCCTGTGCCACTAATCTAGAAGATAAGTAATTATCGACTACCAAAAAAGTGATAATGCCATTTCATAATGATTAGTGGTACTAGTATTATCATTCAAAACGATATCACAAAAGTTTAGCTATTATTCAATTTGATCAGGAGACATGTAAAATAATCGACAAAGACATTTGCTATTGGGATCCCAATCTACCTCAACATACCACTGGGGATCAGCTTCCTTCTTATTAAGTAATTCCTGATACAATCTACTAACATCATTTGTTTGATCATATAGTTTCGGATGAAATCGTTGAATTACCTGCCTTAATATTAGCATATAAATCTTTTTGAAGTATTTTTCCTCTAAAGCTTTTCAGATTTGCTGTGGACTACAATTCATCTTTCTTACAAAAAATTCAACATCCTAAATCATCTCCATAATAAACTCAATATTTTCCTGGAAATTACAACGTAACACATCAAGGTCGTGGTTTTTATGCTCATCAACTAATTTGGTGATGCTTATTATTTTATGAGGATTATCCCTCTCTGGACATGAGAGATTTATTTGCCATGTATATCTAACACGCTTTGACACCGTTTCTTTCTTTGGATTCTTACTTTTTGTTGTTTCAGGTTGGCCAAAGTGTTTATAGACCATGGTACGTTTTCAAATATCACTATTTGAAAATTTTTCCACACGATAACAATGTATTCTAAACTTCTGTCTTTTTTCATACTTTTCAATTTCGTTTAGCATATGGTTCCAGTCACGAAAAATCATACCTTCTCATATTTCATCACACTTATTGTTTTCAAAATACTCTACATCATTTTGTTCGCATTCATTTTGAATCATATCATGCAACACACCGCTACTAACATTAATTCAGCCTGATTATTATTGTACAGCATATCAAATCCATTATTCATATAATTCCAGCTACGAAAGACTACACCCACCTGAAATTCCTCCTGGTAAACGCCTGTATTCATTATAAAATTGCTTTCATTTTCATTATGACTAAGATCGAAATCAAGTTGATAATTTTCATCAAGCCTATTGATCATAGAATTACAGTCACGAAATGTTAAATTTGACTGAGCTTCTTCATGATAAGTACTTTCAGTTCCATATTCAGCTTGGTTATTATCATATAAAATGTCATTACTAATACCAATTCCACTTATCTTATTGCTCCAATCACGGAAATTCATATTGGCTTGAATATTCATGTATTTGATCTGATTATCTTGTAATATGTTGTTACTATTATCAAATCTGGCCTAATTATGATGGTTTTCCTTTAACAGTATAAAATGTTGGTAAAATAACAAGCGAAACTTTGTTGATTTGTTTCTTTAATAGTATAAGCGTGAGTACAAAAAATGGTATAAACGTGAGTGCAAAAAAATAGTATAAGCGTAAGTACAAAAAAATATAGTATAAGCATAAGTGTGTGAGTACGTAAGTGAGTGCGTGAGTACATGAGTGCAAAAAAATACTATAGGCGTGAGTGCAAAAAAATGCTATAAGCTGAGTGTAAAAAATACTATAAGCATGAGTACAAAAAAATAGTATAAGCGAATATAAAAATTTTTTATTAATTTACTTTAGTATAATTGTTTAAACTATTTTAATTACATCATAAGAAAGCATCGCGCCATAGTGCTATAGCATCAAATGCTATAGCACTATAATAATATTCCCTAAATTAATATTTCGATTATTTTAAAATTATTATACTCTTAATTAAATTTGATTTCATTTTATATTGTTTATAATATTTTTAAAATTTATTTTTTAGATATATTAAAATTTTAAAGACATTGTCAATAATGTTTTTTTATTAATGAATTTATCAGAATTTTTTCGCATTTTTGCAAAAAATTTATAATATTTTTAATTTTATTTGATATTCGTTTGAAGATTTTAATTTATATTAGTCAAAGTAATTTGAATTATCTTTAAACATTTCAAATATTTATAAATTCGTATATTATTTTACAAATATTTCCGCTATTTTACACCTATGCAATACAATTTAGAATGATTATAAATTCTTCAAAAAATTCTTTATAATGAAAATAAAGCTTAAAAATTTTAATTAAAAATTTCTTTTTATTTGCTTCTATAAAAACCTCTTAAATATCAATTATTATATTAGTTCTATTGTATTTAATATTGATTACATAAAAATATAAAGTAAAAGTCAGAATAGTATTTGCATACATAACAATTGAATTATGTATAAAAATGCATATTTATGCAAATCTATTCGAATAAATTAAAATTTACTATAAATAGTCAATATTCATTTCAACGCGGATTAATTTGATAATAAAATTTTTGCGAAATACTAAAAATAGTTAAAATATTATTCTGTACTAAAACAAAAAGAAAATTTCGAAGCATTATTTTAATAATTATAGATTAGCTAAAAAGAAGACGTACATTTATCAAAAAAAAATTAAACTGATATATTAAATATTGAGCGAAAAAATTCAAATAATTTTAAAATATTATTTATTAATATATTTTAATTTAAAAGTAAAAAACGAAAATTATTATGATAAAATATTAAAAATAACTTACATTAATGTGATTAAATAAATTTAAAATATTTTAAAATAATTCTAATATATTCGAATATATTTGTGTAAATGATTTAATAAAATAATATATTTACGATAAACTTTGAATACATAGAAACTTTGATTATATATAAACTTTGATTACATAGAATAAAAATGCTTCGGAGGAATCTTAAAGATTAAAAAATTATAAATAAGTAGATTTTTCCTTTACATTATTTTCATAAACATTTTTTTCAAATTCATCAAATCTTTACTTTTACAATTCACCAACTTTTAAAATTTTGCATAATCATTCTTATCTATTTCATCTTTTACACTTTCACTCTTCTCTTATTTCATCTTTTACGCCTTTACACTTTTCCTTTCATCTTTTATCTCTTCTTTTACACTTTCACCTTTTCTTTACTTCTCTTATTTCTACATTTTCGCTTTTATTCTTTTCCTTACTTCTTATATTTTCATTTCACTTAATATAATTTATGCCTTTCTATTAATTTCATTAAATTCGCATTAATTCGAAATATTATCAAATTTTTTTCCTTTAATTTTTATATTCTGTTACTAAAAAACATGCCTAAATACGCCAAAAAAGTCCAAAAAACTCGAAATCTTTTTGCTAGCATTTTATCCGGTACTGCACGACATGTTTCTACTGGTACAAGTAATACTGAGAAAACTACAGATACTACCGCTTCAAGGCAGCCCATTCCGCCTCAAGGCAAATCTGTTTCAAGAATTTCTGATATTATTTTTCACTTTTGTAATTTTAATAATTATTTAATAAAATAATTTAATTTTTATATTATATTTTAGAAAATACTCT